TGGCATTGTGGGCAAATACCCGGTATTCTATTCCTTTGATACCTAGCCTTGTTAAACCCTCCTCCTATGGGGCAACTCCTTTTAAAATGTCCTGTTTGATCACAATTATAGCATGTTTTTGGCCTGGCATCTAAAGCCTGTTGTACTGCTGCTAAGACTTGCCCTTGTTCATTAATGTCTCTACATAATTTAATATATGTGTTTAAATCTTCATGTTTCCATGGTCTGATGACCTCTCTGCAGCAACGATTTGCTTGGTCATAAGCCAGTTGTTTTATAAATGGCATTGCCTGTTCTGTATCTCCAAATACTCTAGATGCTGTCTGAATAAGCCTACCTACAAATTCAGCGTAAGGGTCATTAGCTCTCTGTATTACCTTAGATAGCTGACTTTGTAAATCTCCATGTCCTTGTAAAGTCTTCCATGCCCTAACTGCGTCTGCAGCATTTTGTGTATATATAGCAGGATCATATTCAATTTGTTGCTGTTGACCCTCATAAGGTCCTTTTCCTAACAACATATCTAGATTTCTTTGAGGGTAACTGGCTGCTGCATTTCGCCTAGCTGTCTCTGTGCAAAATTCCTCATTGGCAACCTTCCATAACAAATATTGTCCTCCATTTAGCACAGATTTACACATGCTAGCCCAATCTGCTGGTGTCATGTCCAAGTTGGTAATGGATTCGACCATGCTTACAGTGAAGAGTGCTTGGGGACCATAGGTTGTTACAGCCTCCTTTAACTGCTTCACTGTTTTGAAATCTAAAGCACAGTGAATTCACTGCCCTCCTACCTGTTCAAGTACAGGGCATGCTAATCTTTGAGGTCCTGTCTCAGGATCCCATTTATCAACTACGGGGGTTGAGGGCCACTCAGCTGTCTCCATAGGTGGAGCTGTTGGTTGAATTACGCCCTCTGGTGATAGAACGGAGTTAGTAGCAGCCTCCTGTTGTAGCCTTTTTCCTAATAGCCCCTTTTCCTTTAAATTTTCTTCCTCTGTCTGACTAGCTCGAGAGACCTTCTCTTTTGCTTGATCTAAAATGTCTTTCTCCATGGTCTGAACCTCTAACAATTTACTTAACACTCTTTCAGTTTGTTTTTTACTAATTTCTAATCTACTATAAAGATAACGCAACCCAATAAGATAACACAAAACAAAACCAAAACTGAATGAAACAAAAACGGAATAAAAAATCGTTGTATCAATTTTCTCTTCCTCAGGGCCGAAAAACTTCAAACCTTGAGCCAACCATTTTTCCCAGTTTGCCTGAGAAAGTTCTAGGGATAGGCAGCTTGAAATAAAAACAAAATAAATCAAAACAAGAACACATTGTTTTTTGAATTTGTCACCCCATTCTCTCACCTTCCCTCAGGGGCGTGCAATTTCACTTACCTCCAAGCTGCAGACCTTCCCCGTACGGACCACCAAATGCCGCAGTCTGTCTGGGCACAAAATAACCGAGCCACCACAAAAGCCTTGTTGATTCAAACAGCAATTCTTTATTCCCGAAACTCTCACTGGCACTCTACACGCACGTTCTGGGGAAATCCACACACTCCACCGGGCTCTGAATACCAAATACCCTCTGAATACTGCAAGAACTCAAGGGGAACTCAAGGAGCGGGTGCCTGAGGCAGCAGGATACGCCCTATTCCCAGCAGGATCCACCCTAAACCTGGAACAGCCCTAAACCCGGATCCGCCCTGGTCCTTGAGCAGGGTCACCTTTCTCAAACATTCATGCAATGTCACTGCAAATGCCCTGGGTCCAAGGCAAGCCCATTTCCACAATGGAGAGTCCTCCCTCTAAGCAACATGGGGTAGGCTGACAAGGAAATTGCCATGCGTCATTCCTACTTGGCTATGGCTCTCAGCAGCAAACCTCAGCAAAAGCAAGGCTCTAAGCAACTCAGTGAGACCCTGTCTAGAAATAAAATACAAAATAGGGCTGGGGATGTGGCTCAGTGGTGGAGTGCCCCTGAGTTCCAACCCTGCCCCAGCAAAAAAAAAAAAAAAAAAAAAAAGTTAATACTTTAGATATCAAAGTAAAGTTTACTGAGGAGGAATAGATTTCTTCTCTAATGATCTTTTTTTTAGGGGAATAGGAGATACATTTCAAAGTAAGTTTCAGTGAACTCTCTGCTCAGAGAGGAATGTGTGGGTATTTTCTTCTTAATGCAAAATCTTATCTCCTGATTATAACTTTAACAAATAAAGGTAGAGCATAATAAAGAAATAAAAAATAAACAAGGCCTAGTTTGAGATCTGCAGTCACCAGTCAACCAGCCATATGGAGGCCAACAGGACTAAAGGTGCTGTCTGTAATTTGTGATGGGAACACTAATAATATATTTATAAATAATAGTGATGGAAGAATGAAGTTAGTAAAAATAAGAGCTTAGTTAAGTGTGGCTTTTCTCTCCCCACTACAGGGAACCTAACCAAGGAGAATTCTACCACTGAGCCATATCGGCAACCATTTTTATTTACTTTTTACATTTTGAGACCCAGTCTCACTAAGCTGCTGAGTTTGGCCTTTAAATTGCTATCCTCCTGCCTCAGTCTTCCAAGTTGCTAGGATTATGGGCAAGCACCACTGCACCTGGCATGTTTTTTTTTTCTTTCCCCTTTCAGCCTTGAAAATATGCAAAGCAAAAGGGAGGGGGAGGAAGGGTGAGAGGGACAGAGGAAAGGGAGGGGGATTGAAATGGAATGTTAGCACTGGAATAGTGGGAAGGACAGAGGGGTTAGAATTAGAATACATCATAGTTTATTGCTGGGCACAGAGATGTTAGAGAAGGACACTTATTCTCTTTGTACATCATTTTCTTATCTGTGTTATATTAAAACAATATAACTGCATGAGAAGTGCCTTTGTAAACTGTCATGCAGTGTAAAAATGCCAGTTATCGTTATTCACACTCCCAGAGAGAACTAGGTGACCAACTTCTGCCCTAAGAAAGGTGGGTTAGAAGCTTTGTCTTATCACAAACCCCCCATCACTCAGCCATAGATGAACAACTGGGCCACTTTGGGATAAAGATTCACCAAAGCTTCCAAAGTGGAGAAATTTGTCACCAATGAAATGAACCATACACAGCAAGCCATGTTTCTTGGGATCTTAGGTAAATGACTGAACAGATATTGACAGCATGACTACTCATTGTTCATTCCCAGAAAAAAAATTGTCTACGAGATATTTTTGGACAATAGCTGAGAATGTTGGAAAAATTGCTTGAGTCCCTTCCTCTGTGTGCAGAACTCACACAGAGAGTGATGTAGGCCAGAAATTGAGAAATATTGCCAAATGCCCACACAGCGGAGGAAACACTCTCTTCTCCCCTCCTCCCTGAGCCTGTTTCCCACCCTCCTGCCACACACTGATTTATCAGAAGGCTCAGGATGCATACACTTGTTAGGATGCTCAACTTTCCTGATTTTGCCAACTTTATACCAAAGTGCTGATTTAAAATGCCATCTAATCTAGATATCTATAGTTAATGATACCAGGGAAGTTTTTAGACTCCTGAAATAATCTTTTTATCTCCATACCATCTCTTTTCCCCTCTAAATTATAAACACCAAGAAGCTACAGACCATATATGTCATGTTAATCAAGATATCTCCATTGCCTAAAACAGTGCCTGACATATCATAGATTTTAAAGAACCAAAGTTGTTCATAAGCAGATCAATGAAGAAGGTGGCAAATGATTTAATTACTGGATTTGAAATCTGGCTTCACCCATTCCTTAAGAGATACTAAGCAAAGATTACTTTTAAAATATAGCCTCCCTAATTCTCAGTATTATCTGAAATATGGGTAAAATAATTACATTTTTTAGGATTGCTAGTAGAATCAGATGAATTTTTTTTTTTTTTGCAAAGCACTTTGGCACAGGACCAAACTTGATCCCCTCTTTCCCCCCATGTCAAACACTTCAAAATGATATATAAGGACTGTCAATATTCATTCTCACATTTTATTTCAAACATCATCTGTTGTTGACATGTGAAGCCATCTGTACCCAGTCTACTGTCCACATTAAGGTGATTTTACTTTCAACCTCGGTGTTAACTTGACTTTATTATCACAGAAATTCTTCCCAGAAAGATGAAGCTGCAAGTAACTATCGTTTATTTCAGAACCTCCTGAGTTTGTCTTTAAAATCTATTTGTTCTCATTAAGTAAATAACCTCCTCTCAGAACAATAGATCTTGCAGCTGGGTTCATAAAATGATGGTTTACTCCTCAAAGACTCTTCCAAATCCTGCCCTTACTGTGTGCATTAGTCTTATTATATTATAAACTTGGTTCAGCACCAAGCAGATCACACCACTGAAAGTCATGGCATGCCTTAAAGTAGGTCCGACAGTCTTAAAAACAGTGTTTTTCAAATCCTCTTCTCTCCTGCAAGATGCAACTAGGATGATGTTGAGGTAGTAAGTGGCCTCCCTGGATGCAGTAAGTCTCTGCTTGATTTAACGGGATATTGTTCTGGTTTCTTAAGATAGTTTGCAGTTGACAGTCTCTGCTGACAAAATTATTATACTTTCATTTCCACAACACTGAATTATGAATCTGAAGTCCTGAATGACCTCATATGCTAAAAATATCTGTCTTTTTTTTTTTTTTTTTTAGCTTTTAACTCTTTCTCCAATCTCATTTTCAGGTCATCCATCCTAATTTACAGCATCACATTTTCACAAAGGTAGAACTGGACTATGGAGACTGTGGACATGAGTCAGTAAAGCCCTACTTTGTCTTGTTTGTTTCATGCTTCAGAGTGAACAAAGTAGAGTTTTTGTTTGCAGGTAGGCAAAAAACCTCTAACTTCCTTTCATGATTATTTCAGATCACTAATGAAGTATTACTGTTGACTTACACAACATTATAGGGGCTCGCTTTCCTGAGTAAGTTCAAAGCAGCCATTGAGGGGATACCTGAAGGGCCCTTCTTAGTTGCTCAAAGAGGCTCTTTATTTGACTTATTGCAACAAGAGAATGAGAAGTACATAGTAAGCATAAAACTGGTCATTCCTTGGAGACATATGTGCCTGCTGTGGATCTAGAGGTATATCCGGTGGGAGTACATTTGTTGCTGGGCAGTCTTCAGAGAAGTCAGAAGCCCGTTATATATACACAAGGGAAGGGGTTGTTTTCCACTCTGATGGCAAGCCTTCATGTGTTCTCTTATTCACTGGCACCACTGGGTCCTTCCTAAGCACACCCTGCCCTTGGCTTAGCTGATTTGTTAGAGGTACCAAGTTGTTCCTTGGTCTGGGGCATCTGAGTCCTCTGCTTATCCATACAGGACTGAAGGTCTGCCAGTATCTCAGTTAGATGATCTCTGTCCATTTCTTCCTGGATATCTACTAGATGCACAGCTTTATGCTCCTCATCAGCAAGCACTTGCTGAACTTTCTTAAATTCTTTTTGTATGAACTCCTTTATCTCTCTCTGAGTTACTTTAGGATCTGAACTCTTGAGCTTTAACTTTTCCACCAACTCTATAATGGCTGCCTTCACTCTAGTGGAGTCTTTGCTTATTAGTTCTTCAAAGGCTTCATCTAAGGTGTAAAGCTGGTGACCATGCTGAGTCCCAAGGACACAGATGATCGGCTTGTCTTTCTGGGAGTAGGGGCTCAAATCAAGCCCTTGGTCTGCATACTTCCTCTTGGACGTTCTCTTTTCTTCCAGTGCTCTTTTTGGGTCCAATTTGCTTTCTGCCTTAGTTTCTCTTTCCGACACGGACCTTCCTTGGATGTCTTCTTCCATCATCTCGCTTTCTGGCTCACTGTCCTCCTCTTCACTCTCCTCACCGGTCTCGCTCCCTCCTTCCGAGTCACTGTCCTCCAAGGCGCTTTCTAGCTCCTGCCGCGGCTCCACCTTGACCGTGGTCTCTTCCTTCCCGGGCCTCTCCCCGCCGGCTCGCGAGGTCCTGGCCTGAAGGCCCTGCGTGTTCTTGACCAGGTGGTGACTGGGGAACCTCCACTTGTGCTCGTCGGCGTGGCGGGTGCAGTAGTAGAAGCCGCATTCTCGGCACACTTCGTCGGCCCGCGGAGCCTGGTCGGGTTCGCACTGGTCACACGTGCCATCGTGCACCTCGTAGGCCGCGCACACTCTGGTGACCATGTGGGTGTTGTGATGTGGTCGAGGTCTCCGGGGCTCGCTGCTGCCCCTTGGCGAGGCCTCTTCGCTTCCCCTTCCCGGGCGCCGGGATCCGCGCCGCAGGAGTGGCCGCCTGGCTGGGGAGCGCGGCTCTGGGAAGCTGGACCTGGGGCTGAAGCAGCCCCCGCCGGGCAGCGAGCACTGGGCCTCCTCGTCGCTGGGTGTACTGGCGCGGAGCTCCGCTTGACTCCTGTTGATGTCATACTTTTTAACATTCTGAATTCTAAGGTTTTTCACAATAAATTTCTCTCCCTCCCTCCCTCCCTCTCTCCCTCCCTCCCTCTCTCTCTCTCCCTCTCTATCTTAGTATTATCTACTTTAACCTTTAACACTCAAACTAAATGCTGCTTCTTTCATGAAATGTTTAATGAAACACGTTAACAACATGGATCACACACGTTTCTGTGTTTTGATGTTTAGAAGAAACTTGCTATAGAATCCTATTATTTTCTCATTGCCCAGTAATGCATTTTTCTTTTCCTTGAAGGAAAAGAAGGTAGGGACTGTGGCTTATCCATTTCATCATTAAGGTCTTAAATAGTGAAAAAAAAAATTTTTTTTAAGAACCTATACTAGTTGATCGATAATTTATTTGCTGAATGATGAGTGAAAAACATTTAACTTAGCTATTTAAATGAAGACAACCGATTTAAAAAATATGAAATTAAGAAACGTCTATAGGAAGCTGGGCGGGTGGCGCACACCTGTAATCCCAGTGGTTTGGGAAGCTGAGGCAGGAGGAAAGCGAGTTCAAAGCCAGTCTCAGCAAAAGCAAGGCACTAAGCAACTCAGTGAGACCCTGTCTAGAAATAAAATACAAAATAGGGCTGGGGATGTGGCTCAGTGGTTGAGTGCCCCTGAGTTCAATCCCTGCACCCCCCCCCCCAAAAAAAAAAAAGAAAAGAAAAAGAAACTTCTATAGGAAAGCATAGGGGAAACACATCAGTACATTGAAATGGTCAAAGATATTTTTGGACAAGACTAAAAACACAGGAAACAAAGGCAAAAATTGACAAATGAGATTACATTTAAAAGCTTCTGCACAGCAATGAAAGCAATCAACAGGGTGAAGAGACAACCTATAGAATGGGAGAAAATATTTGGAAAGTATGCATCTGATAAGGGGTTGAGATACAGAATGTATTTGGAACTCTAAAAACTCAATAGCATGTACACACACACACACACACACACACCTGATTTGATCACAGAAAGATATACAAATGGCTAAGAGGTCTATAAAAAAATTTCTCAAAGACAAGGATCATTAGATTAATGCAGATATCACCTCACCCCAGTAGGAATGGCTATTATCAAAAAGATTAAAGATAACAAGTGCTGGTAAGGGTGTGGAAAAAAGGGAACACTTGCACAGTGTTGGTGGGAATGTAAATTAGTATAGCCATTATGTAAAACAATATGGAGGTTCCTCAAACAATTAAAAATAGACACCACATGATCCAATAATTGCACTCTCGGGAATATATTCAAAGGAAATTATATCAGTATGCTGAAGAGACATCCACACTCCCATGTTCACTTAGCACTAATTATAATAGCTAAGAAATGGAAACAACAGAAATGTTCATTATGGATGAATGGACAAAGGAGGTGTTGTACAGATACACAATGGAATACTATTCTTCTATAAAAAGAATAAAAACCTGTCATTTGTGAAAACATAGATGGAACTGGAAATAATTATGTTAAATGAAATAAGTGAGGCACAGAAAGACAAGTAGCACATGCTCTCATTCATATGTGGAATCTAAAAATGTTGGTCTCATAGAGGTTGAAAGCAGAGTGGCAGTGATGAGAGGCAGGGGAGAAACGGTGGCAGGAAGACTTGGGCAAAAGTTGTCAACGGGTGCAAAGCTAGAGTGAGTTAGCGGCACAAAGTTCAGGTAGGCTATTGCATAATAGGTGACTTTAGATGACAACAATGTACTGTGAATTTTTAAAAAACTAGGAGAAAGGACTTTAAAAGTTTTCATCATAAAGAAGTGATAAATTTTTGAGAAGATAGATTTAATCTGATTTAAGCATTACATAATGTGTACATGTATAGAAACATTAGATCACCACATAGTACAAGACTAATATAATATGCACAGTGTTATGTTTTCATGTATTAATTAAAATAAATTTAATTTAAATGCCCTTTTTTGGAAGTACAGAGAATTGAACTCAGGGCTTTGCACATGCTAGGCAAGTGCCGCACCACTGAGCCACATTCCCAACTTTAAATGCATCTAAAAAATTTTTTTATTGGGGCTGGGGATGTGGCTCAAGCCGTAGCGTGCTTGCCTGGCATGCATGCAGCCCGGGTTCGATCCTCAGCACCACATACAAACAAAGATGTTGTGTCCGCCGAAAACTGAAAAATAAATATTAAAAAACTCTCTCTCTCTCTCTCTCTCTCTGTTTAAAAAGTTTTTTCATTGCATGTTTTAAAAAATAAAAGATTAAATAAATATTTGTCAAGAAAACTTGGGATTGTTCTCATAGTAACTTCCTTTGTATTTTCTAATGTAGTTCTTTTAGTTTTAGGGAATGCTGAGAAATGTTAACCTCTGAAGTAGTAGCTCTCCAAGCCAGGAAAAGTAGGCCCTGTTTGTGTGTCTATTCTCTTTTAAAAAGGTAAGTTCTTATTTCCTTTCCATTTAACAATTACTAATGATGATTATGAATGTACAGCTGGCCCAGCCATCCTATCAGTGTAACCAATAGCTTTTTTTACCCCTTCGGGGAAATGTTATCTCCTCTGGCATCAGTCTGGATATAAAGGTTGTCACTTTCATGATCTGAAATAAAGGTGGGCATTTTACATAGCCTAATCAGGGCTAAGAGAAAGACTAAGTTTTACAGTGGTGTCAAATTTATAACACTGTGTTAGCTGATAGAAATGATGCCTTACATAGTCATGTTTCTATTTAAGTATTATTTAGCCCCTATGCACAGTATGTACTTTTTAAAAATAGCCACAATCAATCCAATACTTGAGCTCTTACAGGCAAATTTATATTATAGCAGTATAATTTCATTTTGCTTCATCTAAACTGAAATCTAAAAGTTCTATAAAAGTTTAGAGCTCATAGCTAACAGCTTTCCACAGGGGCTAAGTTTTGCAGCGGTAAAGCATTTCTTAGATGACAGTATGCTGGCCATCAGAGAAAACATTGAGAAGAAAATTTAAGTACAATCTGGAGAGTACTAATGACAGTGAGCCTGCATCGATGTTCTACAAGGGAAAGTAATCCATTATCGAAGAGTGCAAAATATATGTATTGTTAGTTTTGGATCATTTTGGATCACTTGCAGGTATACTTATTTAATAAACATGTTTAATATTCAGCAGTGAGTCTCAACTATTTTCATCACTTTTTCTTAGCTGACATCTAAAAATGAAAGAATTTTTTTTTATATATTTATAATACAAGCCAGTTAGCTATCTGAGTACTCTGTGTAACATTTGGCACATATCATCATCATAATAATAAGCATTATATCATAATGTGTCAAGTCCCAGTGGTCCTTATTTATGTGCAGCTTAAATTCATCATATTTTTCAGGACTACGGGTAGTAATTACACTAGTTCACAATAAGGGTATTTTACTTTTTGCCTTTAACATGCATGACCTTGTGATCCTTAAACATCTCTGTGAGTTAGTTATGTACCCATTTTATAGAGAAGATGGAGGCTCAACCAGAAGTAACTTTCCATAGGTCACATAGTAAGTGAATGATAGAACAGGAGCCAGAACCCAGAACGTCTGTCTTCCAGAAATAGGCCCCTGTTCTGTAATACACAGCTCCCTCTTAATATATTTAAAAATAATTACAGAAGAGATGTTACAGATCCTTCAGACGGAATCTGATCAATGTTCATTTTGAGGAAAATGAACAAACACAGCATTAATTTAAATTGCATTCTCCATTTGAGGACAGTAATCATGAAAAGAAATTAAAACATCGAGTCTAAGATTGATTTTCCTGTCTTTGCTGCAACCACTGAAGCACCATGAAGTTTGTAGAAAGACTTTTTCCAGAGACCATTTTATCTTCCCTATGTTAGAGCAATAAATAAACCTGAGTACTCAGTGCATTATTTATTATATTGGATTTGAACTCAGACCTTTTTCTGCAGATGTTTCTATACTTTGCAAATGGAGGATCAGGGCAAATACATGTCCATGAGTGCCATATCACCAGCTGATAACATGAATTTCTTGTTTTCAAGCAGTAGAATGTGCCAGACACTATGCCAGACACTTGTTTTACATATAATTTTAAAATTAATGTTCATATCAATTTCACACTCATTTTATGGGTATGAAAACAGGCACAGTGGAGTTAAGGAATGTGTACAAATTCACACAGGTGTTGAGTGACTGAGTCAGGATTAGAAACCAGGTCTTTTGGATTTCCAAGCTCCTTCTGCTCTATGACACTGCTTTCTCTCATCACATCTTGGAAACTTACAAGTACAAAGGGTGTGATGGCGACTCCTGATGGAGGGGAAAGAGATGAGAGAGAGAACAGATCTTAGTAGGAAAAGGGAGTTAGGGCTTGTGGGAAGTACATGAAGACAGCAATCAAGAAGATACGGCTTCAGGACCTATAGAGATGTCACATGACTATTCTACCATTTAACTTCTTTGTCAGTGGAATGTAGGGATTGGGTTTGATCGATACTTTTCTAAACAGGTTCTATAAGTTCCACAGGTTCAAAGAGTGACCTGGTTTCTAGGAAGACACAACAGAAAGTGGAACTCATCTCTTTATAAAAGTCATGCATATATTACAAAGCATTTTTACACTAAACTAAAACAGTTTTGTTGAGCATTGGTGTGTGCTATGAATTTACTGAGTGCACAGTGAGTTGTGTATGTAGTTATGGGAGAGAAAACACAGTCCTCATCTTTCACTCATGAATAACAGGGATGAGATCACTGTCTTAAAG